CTGTGGTGAAACTTTGGTGACATGTATGGCACAGGCTTGATAGGTTCTTGTTAAGTCCTAGACCTACATTTTGTAGTCTGTAAAAGGAAACAAAGAAAAACAAAAGCAATTGCAAAGGTATGCAAGATCTACCTCTGCRTACTTATAGTATATCTTCCATTAATATAAATCTTCTCTTGCTTCACCTAATTTTTTTTTTATTATTTTTGTTTTACTTGTTATAGAAAATAAGTTAGCTGTTACACTATTTTTGACTGGAATTTATTTCATTACAGCTGAAAACTTTACAGTAGGTGTTGCTGGTTMGACTATTACAGTAAGCAAAGTAAGTTTTTGACATTTAAGGAAAAGACCAGTAATTTAAATCTTAAATCCCAAAAAAAATGGAACCACATTACCAGAAATAAGGAAATCACTTTATAATATTGGTATATCAGGGTTTACAGCATGTACTTGACAGAAGCTATGACTTATCTATTTGATAATTCATTCCATAAAGCAGACTGCCATGTCTTGTCTTTCAAATTGGCAAATTACATATGTTGCAGTTACTATTATTATTCTAGGTCTATTCTTGCTCTGGGAAAATAAAAAAAAATAAAAAAAATAAAAAATGAAAAAAAAAAACCCAGAGCATATTTTTGGTTATTGTGGCATATTGACAGGCTTTCAACGAGGAAATGTGAAAACAGAATCTCCCAGTATAGTTTTCCAGGCTGACTGTATGACTGTGACTATCACAAAAGCATATTAAATTGCAGTGTGCAGWATCTTTGAGAGAAATTTTTAGCATCCTTCTCTTTGGAATGTTTCATTTCCTGCCTGTTCTCCAGGTACCTTGGATTGATGCTCACTGGGCTTACTGTGTTACACCAGTGCTGTGGTGATCTGGGGTGGCTGGAAATCAAACAACAGTGTTCAGAACAAACTAATGTTTCACAGGATAGCAGTTTTTATAATTCCAGGCAGTGATTTGGTGGCTTCCACATGAGCTTTTTCTGACAATGTAGGCGTAAACAAAGGTCAAATATAGCAGAGCTTGAAATTTAAGATGCTAAACTGGTCTACATCTACTTTCCTCCATCTGTTGAATCTCCTACCTATGCAAACAGATTGTTAAATATAAAGTTAGCTTCTRCTTCTCAGGGATATATCAATTTAAATTTTGATATTAACTGTACCTACCATTAGTAATTATGATATTTCAAATCACATCTTAGTCAAAAGAGTACTGATTACAAAGATAATGAACATTTCTTTTGCTGAGTTGTATTTTTAATTATAATTTTTGATTGTATAGCTGTAGGAAAGTATATGCAGACTAAACTCTGTTGTCTAAGCATTTGTTTAATTATTCCTTTCATGCTCTGGGGATTAAAACGAAATCCACAGATGCACAGAGAGTTCAGAATTTGGCCATGGGTAGCACAGATGAGGGTATAGAGAATGAATGTTTATGGAATGAGAATCAGTGAAGGAAACCAGTTAAGGCTTTAAAAAGTAAACCCAGGTAAGAACTGGAGCTRTGGAAGATCCTGTGAATAGCCTGTTTCATGGGCAGGTTTGCATGAATACATCTCAGGAGTTTGAAGATCTCTTGGAACGTTTT